TTGGGCGCGTGGGGTCGGGCATCTCCATTCCTCCGAAAATTTTGTCTTTAGTGGCCGGCTCCAGGGGGTGGGGAGCCAGGCCCCCGAAATAAGACATACGTCAGTATGACAATACAGGGATTCAAAGGCTTATTTAATCGAATGTATATACCTATATATATACCTGTATACTGTAGATATAGCTAAGCCCGGTAGAAAATACTGCAATATATTTTTACCCCGATTGGTTTTTCGAGACCCCGAAAGTGGGGGTGGCTATAGCTAACATTATGCATAATTGTTTTGCCCGCTAACAAAAAATAACTGACATTTTATAAGGGCGTGGTTCGGACCGGGAAAACCCCTTCTCTGGATCCGCCGCCCCAGGAGGTAGCCCCGGCTCATATGTTTCGATAATCAGTCTGTGAAGCCTAGTTGGCCAAATACTGCAAGTATTGCCATATATAATATTCTAGAGCATAATTTAATTAGAACAACCCCGGCAATTTGAATAAGCACACTTTGGGAATTGAACGGCAATACTGAGCTTTACATTTTTATAAATTGTTATATCGGCTTTTTGTGAAGTTTTCAAAGCTTGATTTTGTCTTGATACCGAATTGTTTGTTGTAAAATCATCTATGATACTTCCAAAATGTTCAAACAAAGAAACAACACAAAATTACCTTTATATCAAGAAGAACCGCGCGCCAATTACTTCGTCGTTGGTTGACAAGCAGGTACAGTACGACCGATGATAGTAAAAACTAGATTTTACAGTACATGTCATTACATTCCAAAATGTTGTGATAGACGTCATTCCAATTTTGTCACGTATTGAATTATTTTATGATTAATAATATGGTCACTTTAAATGTTATTCCGTTACATTTAGTGAACATAATGAATCGGTTCGCTAATATACTGAATATACTGTAGGCTGAAACTCAACAAAAAATCAATCAAATTTATGTTTTGACATCTTTTCGAGCAATAAGCTTAACGTCGAACCAGAAGTATTTCCTCTCAATCTTTAAAATGGACATTGCCAGTATATACCTAGTGCATGTTTTACTTCGTACAAATAAAATCTTGTCAATTTTGACTATTTTTCTTGCTATGTACATTTTCATATAGGATTCTAATCTACCATACAGTCTGCACCCTGATTTCTACGTCATTTATTCATACTATCGTGTGCGTCGAATAATAGAAAGCTCAATAGGCCTATTTATAAAAAGATATATATTTGGTAAGTAACATTGCACACCAACCAGGAAATAATATCCGCAACATACTTTAGTAGATTTAATTACATCCTCTGTTGATGTTATGTTATACAATAAATGAATTATTGTTTGCATTGCAAATTGTTGTTATAAATTAGTTATAGTTCAACTTTAATTAAAAATGAAACACAAATATTCTATGTCATCACATGGTACAAAAACATGGCAAAAGCCCCTATTAAGTGAACAATTTCACGTTTTTGGTTCAAAGGACTCTCCTAAAGGGGACACTTTTGTTGGTCTCCAGGGTGTCGTCCTAATAGGGGTTCTACTGTACATGGCCGCCAGGGGAAACTGTAACATAGGGGAAAGCATTTGTGTGGGCCAGTTACGAGAGCGATGGGCGAGAAAGGTTGCGCCGAAGGCAACTCCTGCACGTGCGTTGAACAACTCTAGTTCTCGATGCATTCCAAGTAGACCTAATAGGGATCATCATCTGGAACATTTATCGACAAGACGAGATACAAACTCCAACACACACCCCCACATATTTAACACACCTAAACAAAAATGAAGTACAATTATCCAAGGCATATATCAATGATATTTGCTTTATTGGCATAAAACACATGCCGCCCCTGACATCATTGTTAAACGGTACAGACGAACAATATACAATTAGAATAGGTCCAAACTACAGTAGTCGTTGCGTCTTTAATTACACATTTAGACGATAGTTGAACTGTATAGTCCATCGATCAACTATATCAGTGCATAGCATATAATCGATTTATTGGAACTCCAAAACTTGATTGGATTGCAAATGATGTGTTTACTTTGGTAAAATGTTAATCTAATTTGAATCGTCCTTCTAGAATATATTATATTTATATAATGCAAATATTTCTGGAATGAACTGTACAATAATTTACAAAGAATAATTTGCAAAGAAAAACAACTTAAAAAGAAAAATGGAGGACGCGGTAGATGCTTAAGACACATAAATACCAACGAACTGAGTTATTAATGAGAGACATACTTTGGAACAAAGCAAAAGTATTAGGCATATCACGGTAATAACATGAAGTTAAAGCAGGCTGGAGGAATTTTTATGTTTGATAGGCCTGTTGTAGGCCCTACATCTGAAGACACAAAAAGGGTGTTTGTCGAAAAAACACGGAAACGGTAAATGGGATACAGATTTTGCGAATATTTAAAAACTGGAGAAAAAAGGGCGTAACCACTCCTTCCACTTTTTCCCCCAGTTTTTGAATATTAAAAAAATTTATCTCATTAACCGTTCCAGAGTTTTTCGTCAAACACCCTTTTGTGTCTTAAAAAATCAGTTGAACAACAGAAAAATAATTTTTTTCTACGGAGCATGTTATCAAAAGCAGTATACGATATCAATGATTACTTTAAAGTGCCTCATGTTGCAAATCTCTTAGTATATGGCCCCATGTGGCCTTTAGCCTTGCTTCACATAAAGCAGTCTTCATGTTTGATTCCTATCGGTTAGCCTACCGGCCGTAAAGTTCAGTTCAACAATACTGCTTAAAGCTGCATTATTTACCTTTTAAATACAAAAATAGACATATTGATTATTAAACATACTGAAATGCATTATCGATCTTAATATCGATTGTGTTTGTGCAGTGGTTTCGTTGTCTATCATCTTTGTGGCACTTTTTGTGTTTGTTTGCCTACAGTTTTGTCGCCCTCAGTGACATTCAACTTGCGAGGTATCTCCACTCGGCAACATGTATTTGAAATAAGGCACATCAAAAAGAGGACGACCAAAAGAGCCCCGATCACTGTAACTGAATAAACTACGCTGAGGCTTACGCCAGGTCCGTTTTGTATAGAGTCGTTCAGTTTTCTAATAATGTAATCCAAAGCCACGTATGTGCTGTTAAGATCTCTACCAAGTCGGCTACGGCCATCATCAACTAGGCTAGCGTATTCCAACTCGGATACCATCATCTTGACGCTGTCACCAAGGGCAAATGCAAGCTGAAAAAAGATAGAATATTTTATTTTATTAATGCTGTATTTATTTACATGTGGCCTCCACTTCAATCGTTTGCTTAAATTTTGTTGATTTAAAGTTGGAAGTGTTTAGAACATCTATGCAGTTTTGAGGGAAGATTATACAATTATTTTGTCACTTGTTTTATTGTATTGTATTTGGGCCAGGCTCCGGGGGGAGGGTGTAACGGGGGGAGGGGGTGTAACAAATGATATGTTGTACAACAGATTTTTCTTAGAAACGAAAAGTATTATCTGACGAAAAACTCGGGAACGGTTAATGAAATACAGATTTTGGAATATTCAAAAAATTGGAGGAAGGGGGATGGGGCGCAACCGCCCTATTTTCCACCTTTTCCCTCAGTTTTTAATTATTCCAAAATCTGTATCTCATTAGCCGTTTTTCGACAATTTCGTCAAATATGCTTTTTGAATCTTAGAAAAATAAGTTGTACAGGGCCATCATTTGTTTCCTCCGGCGACTGACTATCGAAGATGATAATGATGATGGTCATGACGGTGATAATAAAAATGCCAGATGATGATGATGAAGATTTCATATTATGATAGTTAAGATTTTGAGGATGGAGATGCCAATGAAGGGGATGAATTCAAGATAAAGATATTTTGCCATTCACTTTGGTGATATTTTGTCATTAACTTTGGTGATATTTTGTCATTCACTTTGGTAATATTTTGTCATTTACTTTTATCTTCTTTATATTTATATAGGGTCCTGTCGACCTACTCTAGTTCTGCATGAATCTTGTCTTGATTATGTCGTCAACAAAACTTAAGCTCTCTTCAGACTATCATAATGTGTTTGACAAAAAACTGATACCTATATATGGTCATAATGTGATGTCATCATGACCTTATTTAGACATCTCACATGTTAATTGTTGTAAAATAATAATAGTCTGGACAAAGACTTAGCTGTTTAAGATTTTTACCATAAACAATAATACCAACAATATTTCCTCTGATTTGCCGGTTTATATTTTTTATAGACATTTTATAATGAATTTTATTTACATAGGCCTAGTCTAACTGTCAATCATTAGTGTGCGGTTCGCATCAATTTAATTATTATGAAAATGTCTTGGTAGATGAACTTGATATTGATTTAACTCAACAGTGAGTCGTTTGGTGAAAGTTGAAAGAACCCGCTGTGGTGTCACTCAAGCCGTAACAATTGCTTCGATGACCATAGGAAATCGATTAAATTAATTTTATTATTCTCGCTCCAAGGTGAAAACTTAACGGTAGTATATCAATGAACAGTGCCGTGTATCAACAGAAATTGAGCAAAGTCATTATTTATCAACCAGTAGGCTAGTTAAAGTCTAAAATTTTACGTAATTTATATTTTCTTCGAATCGAAGGTGCCTCCCACCCAGAAAACTCATAAAGTTTATTATAACATTCACGAGCGCTGTGAACGTAGTCGCCAGAAACATTAAAACAAAAACTGTCTCCGGTAGGAACCGAACCTACAAGCGTTTGCTATCAAGGCTTTTCTAGCTTAACCATAGGCCTATGTGTGAGCGATTCGGTCCAGTTGTATAAGAGCAAGTGCCTGGAGTTGGATTTTTCATTCAAAACAAAATTAATTCATATCAGTTACTTAGCAAACACATAACGTTTTTACAACATTTGCGAGTGCTGTGGTCAGAATTACGTTTCGGAAAAATTTAGCATTATTTCGGTGAATGCTACGTTATAAAATACGTACTTTTGAATCTACAAGAAAAGAATATATTTTTAACAAATTGTAACATTATAACGTCAAAGTGTTGGGCAGACGTAAAAAGTGAACACGTAATCTGACGACACTTTCACAACTGAACGACGCTATTGCAAAGTCTCTCCTTTATTTTTAAAACACTATTACCGTAATCTATAAAAACGGTGTGTAAATATAGCTCCAAACAATAATATACCATCTTTGATGACACTTTTACAGCTAGACGTGTTTAGGCTTAACGTGCTTAAGATCTTAACACGCCAATATTCTCAGCGCAATAAAGTCTAAGCTTAACACGTTAGCTTTAAACGTGTCATCAAAAAGTGGGACAAGACAACATTATGTGCAGTTAAGTGAACGTTGTTTATAAAGTGTATGTTTACAATTGATGTCATACCTGGTTATGTTCGTAGGCGTAGAACACAACCGCATTGTTATCACAGTTATAATCTCCAAACCAGGCAGACATTAGGTAATTGGCAAAATGATATGCCTGCTCTTTCTTCGGTATAAATTTTCTGTAAGGAGAAAAGGACGGTAAGCTTTTAAAAAAAGGTGCAGTTAGTTCTTTCATATCTCAACAGATCATTTGTACTATGAATTAAAAATTTTCTCTTCTGAGTCAAACTTTTTATTAAGTGAAATTGAATACTGTATATTGCACCGTGACAATGGACGAACATTTTTACACTATAGGGTGTGAATTTGATTTGATTTGATTTTTTTGGTGTGATACATAAACGAAAGTCCTGAGACTTAATTCCAGTGGGGTCCTTCTGGTGGTGAATTGGTCAGTACACCGGGAGAAAATCCCCTACTCTTTTCCGAAGAGTGACTGCGTTGTCTAACGTGCACATGGACCTATTTGCACAAGGAATCAACAGCTGAAACGTCCCATCCGAAAGGCGGTGCAATTTGAAACTTGCATTTCGCAGCCCTCCAACTGATACACAAGAAAGAGCAGCGATAGGAATTGAACCGGTGACCAAGAGACGTCCATGGTTCAGCGCAAACGTCGTACACATTACCACCAGTTTATCCGACAGAGTTGGGCATATTCTTTATACTGGAGATAATATCCTCATGTACATACATGCTAACCGTCGTCCTTACGGGCGAAATGTTCACCGTACGTGCATGACTTCCACACCGTTAGATAAGTAGTTACATACTAACTCTTACAGAATCAGGTGGTTAGCTGCTGCAGCGTTTAAAGTATAAACATAAACCTCCAAACGATAAGTGTTACAGTAGTGTGATAGTTAATAGTCTTGATAATAGCTAGATTAGTGCATTAATACTATTTGTTTTTGAAAATAGAATTAAGGAATGCAAGTAAATAATGGTCTGATCGGGAATCAAACCATGTGACATACGGGGTACCGTTCATTCTCTGCCACCTGAGCCTACTCGCATCAATGATGTTTTAATTAATTTTTTTTTAAAGGCTGTATAGAACACTTCATCAATACCACTTAAATTTCACCCTATTTTATTTTTCATATATTTTCATGTAAACAACGATGGCTGACGGGTGTTTGGAGATTTATTGGGTTTCTTTTCTCGCATGGCCATTCTCACATTTTTTTGGTCGAGGAAAACCGCGTCCTCCACGAAGAACGCTTGCTGAATTCAACGCCGCATTCTGATCGCAGCTAAAAAAACACGTTAAAAACGAATTACCGTGCAAAGTGTCATTGCGCCACGCTCTCATGGATCGCTTCGTTGAGGCTCCGACGTCGACGCATGCTGCATCTGGATTAAACATCGTAGTTGACTGTCGTATAATTAAAGAAATAAATATATATTTTGTCCAAATAGCATTAAAGAAAACTGGAGGACACAGAAATATATTCTCTATTTGTTAAGAAGAAAATAATAATTGTGTATTCAGTATCCTTGTTGGATGATTGATGAATATCCTTATTATTCATTGAATTCATTTGTTCAGAAATGTATGTTGTGATGATGATTAATCATTATTCCTGAATGACTTCGTGTTCCTTTTCATTTTTGCGTAGCCAATATAGACAGTTATTTATTTCTGCTACTAACTGGGCACCACAGCTATATATACACACACGCACGCACACACACACACACACACGCACACCTGTCACCATTCAAATATTTAATTGTATTGACTCAACACAGACTTATTGGTATTAAAGTAGTAGGCCTACTACATATCCATATTATCGCATTGGTTTTTCGTGGACAAAAGGAAACTTCTCGGTAGGTCTATACAGATGTGTATAAGAGACAGTATATATATAGGCCTATATATATATATATAAACATGTTATTTCTTTTCTGCCTACTTATTTTATATACATATACATATATATACACACATATATACACATATATATATATGTATTTATATAGGCCTATATATATACCTACTTATTTTATAAACATATACATATATATACATATATATACACATATATATATATATGTATTTATATAGGCCTATATATATATATATCATGTGTTCTTATAATTATTTGATCACTGATATTATTAATCATATATATTTGCTCAACACAAGGAGGAATGCATACATAATATCAATTTGCATTTCACCCGTTGTCCATTGAATGTCTGCTACCACACTATGAAACACGCATGTAATATACTGTACAGTAGTCGGCACAGCCGGCCTACCTGCTGTGTTTTCCCTCATTTTATAGACATAGCTTCTTGGTCGATTTGATCAATAATTTTAGAGGCAGGTTTAGAAAATGCTCGTGCAATCAAGCGTTATATTGGTCAATATAAGCTTGATTCACACAAGAACAATTTAGACGTGTTTTGATGCAATTTACGCAAGGAATTCTACGCCCACACAGGCCAAAACAGTCAATTTTGAGTATAAAACACTTGAAATCAGTCACGTATCTAAGCTCGGCAGAGACTGCGTTGGCGTCGACAACAGACGCGATTCCATGAGACCGCGACGCGACGACGCGTCGTGAAATGGGTCGTTTTCAAAAGTCAGCACTCGCGTACATACAGCACGAACAGATATCGACTGACGCCGTGTGCGAGGACTGGCGCAAACGCACGTATGCAAAGAGATGGCTGACATACACAAGCATCGAAACTTGTGTTGCGGCAAACCTCCTGCGGTTGCGTCTAAATGATGCTTTATAACAATTTTAAATGAATGATGTTTTGAACAACCTGACCTATCAGGTTGTGCAAACATTATTCATTTAAAAACCTGACCTATTAGGGCCTATCGTATTGTCTCTCTGTACCCCAAGTTCTAGTAAAAAAAATCTGAGAATTGAACCCACAAAACTAGTTTCGTACCACTAGGCCAACGAGTTTCTGGTTTGTTGCATTCCAACCCCAATTTTAACTTACTTTTCGATGGTCATCCACTGAACAAGCGCAACGGCGATGCGGAAACCAGTACCTTCGCTGCATCCGTCAACACACAGGCAATTTGAGTTAATTTTGATTTGTCTTAGTGTGTCATCAATTTGATTCCCTGCAAAAACAAAAACCAACACTTTGTTTAAAATGTGCAATTATTCTGTGCCATTTAAACCCTCATGTCTAAAGCAGTGAGTGCACTGCGTCGTATGACGGCCGTTACGACCGTCGGCAGACGAATCCAACTCCGCTGCCTTTGAGCGCTAGACGACGCAATGTCGTCTGCTGGTTGTTGGTGGCAATCTAAACGGATTGCCATTAAAAAAGATCAGTTGTGCGTATGTCATTGCGTTGCGTTCTCTATAGAGTCGAGTCGGCCCAGACCATCAGGGCAGTGGTGCGCTGTTGTGCTTAGGCTATGTTCACACACAGCAGGTTAACGGTTAGCAGAATCCGGATTACAAACATACGCGCGCTCACCCGTGCGTTCATACAAGAAAATCCTGATCAGGATACCACAGGAAGAGGATCACTAACCAATAGGAAACTGGAGATTAGAAATGCATACGCGTGAATGGTTAATGATAGATACGCGCTCGCTCCACGTATCCGGATACTGGTAACGGTTAGCGCTAACCGATCGGGGCGTCCTCACACGGGTGCTAACGGTTAGCGCAAACGGTTAGCTCCCGATTCGGATACTAGGGACTCTCGTGTGAACCTGACTTTAACGTTTGATTAGAATCATGCATTTCAACATCGATTTTGATATTCTTTAATAGTTCGTTCAATATGTAATGATGCAATGAAAAAATACACTCCATTACATTATACTACATAAAATTATGATTCGTTCATTCGAATACCTTCTTAATGTTTCTTTTATAACGTAAGTATGTATTACGTTATATTACTATAGATTTTCCTGTATATTTAACATACATTGATAATGGATAGTAATATTTTTAAGGCTGTCCCACTAACGCAATCATATTAAGCGGCGGTTAAAATGTCAATTTGCTCGAAAATAACCTAAGCCTAACGATTTCCGAATACAGTTAATCATCGTATACAAAATTTAAAAAAAATGCCACATCGACTTCCTGGATAATATGGACGAAATACATTGTTAAAGTAGACACTTTCAGCGCCGCTTGTTGTAATGTATATATCCAGTGCGGTGAGATACTGTATCGCAGAGATGTAAATCCAGAACACTAGATGAAATGTCCCAGAAAAATGACCCCCCCCCCCCCCCCCCCCCAAAAAAAATCAAAAAAAATCATAAAAACCATTTTCAAAAATCTACTTGCTCATTTTGAATTAGATGTATGAACTTGAACTCGAGCATTACACAAGTCTTCTTAAACATTTTAATTACACCCATTTCTATATATATTGATTATTTTTATGTTACTTTAAAATGTACAAGTTAATTTCAAAATTTAGTACGTGAACTTGTGTGTTTGTGGGACTGTGTTACACAGTATTTATTTCTGTTTGTTTTCTGTCTAGTCAAAAGTTTGATTGACACCCCCGGAAAGATTAATTACAGTATTCAATTAAAATTCAGGCAATATATTTAGGTAACATCCGGTTGTGCGGCCACCCTCACTCCATCCGTATCAATGACTGCTGCAAATACACTAGTGTCATTACAATAAGATTTTGTTACTATTTCCATTCGAGTCGAGGGGCCGAGCGGTAAGGCAGGGGTGCCGATAATTACAGCCTTAACATCGGCGCTAGTTCGGGCCGCTCCTCGTCCAGGGTTCGGTTTGGTAGAACTATAAAGAAAATTGTAGAACCAAGTATTTTCGGATATGGGCTTATGGAGGTCCAGTGTACTAATCTATCTCGTGTGCACTCTTCTATCTTGCATCTTTCGGAAGAGTAGGGGGTTACCCCGATGCTATGGTTTATTTCAGCGTCATTGTTGAATGGTATGAACATGTAGCTATAGCCATTAGCGCCTCTGTACAGCTGCTAGGTAGTCACGAACCACGCCCATACGCAATTCAGCACAATGACGCTGCAGTTATGGGTTATTCTCCGACCTTTACCTTTCAATCCTTAACCAACAGAGATAGAAACCTGTACCAACATGTTAGAGATAATTGCTATTACATGAATATGCGTTCTTATTAATCATTGTAATTCAAATTGACGATCAATATACATTTCAGAAGAATTCGTTGGTTTTCTCTAAAATTTAATATTCTAATGCAATAACATGGAATCGAGTTATCTCTGTGATTACCGGTATTTCATCATGAAATAGCGCATCCTTCATTAAAACATTTTATATTAAACTGCAAGTCAAGGCATGCTCAAAGCAACACTGAGGGCCCTCTTTATAAAGCTCACAATGAGATAAGTTGGTCGGCAATAAGGAGATTTCACAAATACAAATACGTCATTATCATTATCGTCATTCGTGCCAAAAACATTTTTGACAATATTATACTGTACGAACTGGATATGATCATTGATTCCTGCAAAAGGCACGAATCGCTTACGTTGTGACAGATTTTGATGACGTAACCGTATTCGTTTTCGTAAGCCTGCGAAAACTCCCTAATGTCGTGAACATTCAGTATACATACTCTTTTTGGCGTTCAATGACGTAAATTGCATAATTTCATCCAATACAACTAATGAACTATACCGCCGCACATAGCGACATACAGAATGGATGTTGTCGCGAAATGCGACTCAATTGACGTGGGTTATCCGTGTGATGTGTTTCGCATCTTGTTACAATACATCAAATATTGCATCTTGTTACAATACATCAAATATTGCATTAATGTTAAATCATAATAGCACTCAGTCGTATTCATTGAACTGAAATATACAATAAAGAAAGAAAATCTCTTATCCTTTGCTGCTCTTGAGGTACTCATTAAGGCGTCGATTACAGATTCACTATATAGAATCCAACTTAACAGTATTAGTGTACTAGGCTTCGTTCACACTAAAATAATTGTTTAGTCTTGATGCAAAATAAAGAAACTATAGTCTGAACTTGGAACGTGTGTAAACGTTGGCTGACGCGCCGTGGCATAAGTACGAATGGACCCAGCTAAATGTTATAGGAGGAACGTCATTTGTGGAACGAAGAATTGCGTCAATCGTCTTGTGTTAGCGTTTGAAGAGTGTTTTATCCAAATTAACCGCCGGGGTTGTGCTTGCTTTTTCAATCCTCGAACGAGGGAAATTAATACGAAGTGGAACGCTCTGTGCTTGTCTTTGCGTCAATCCTCTTACATTTGCGTTTGAAAAGTGCTGGTGTGATACAAGCACTAGCGCCGAAGTGGGTATTAGTAAGCTAAAAAATCTGAAGTGTTCGTTTAAAAAGCAATCAAGTTACTCCGTAGCAGTCGAAGTGAAAGTACATGTTTTTAGATATTGAAGATTACTTAAAGTGGCTGAGATCTTTAATATCAGAAATCATTGATTTAACCTTTGACATTAGCTTTAATGTTGCAAATGTTGTTTCCATCTTCCCTGATTGAAACAAGGTATATATTTACTAATCGTATTACACTTCTTCCTGATTTATTCTGTTGAAACGCACAGTATGTTTTATCATGTTGTCAGGTAATATGAAATCTTGGGATTTGTAGATTTCTAAATTATTATTATATGTAACAAAAAGAGGAGAAAGGATAAGATAAATGATTACCTAAAATGCCAATGTGAACATTTTTTTACATGGACATATATCATCCGTTAATGCAAATTAAAATCTAAAGATATTAAAATCCTTTCCTTTCTTTTTTTCATCGTCACGTGCAATCGAAACTCCTATCACACCTAAGGCCTACACAAGACACATTATACACATGATGCCCTTTATAAACCAAGTCCCATTATGATGCATTTGGCCGCCTACATGCAATACGACAAGTTGGCAAATTTGAGGAGTTAATGATGATCAACTACCATGTGCATATAAATTACATATTTGCATCGTTCAATACGATTACAAACTTCAACAATATCAAAATACGCCACACGGTTGCAGTAAAAAAAAAAGTTTTGAATGCAACAATAATGTAGACATAGGGACTCTATACTAATATTACGATAGCCAAACAAAAGATAGTCACAATATTCAGACTTAGGTCAATATATTTTCATTTTGCGAAAATAGCATGGTTGGTATTTGTCAATCATCTGTAGCATATCTACGTTATAAGTTGTTATTCATTAGTCCTTAAGTGGAATGTTAGGTTGATTGCTGAATGAATTGTCAAAACATTTCTTTCCTAGGGGAAGGCGACGAGAAGAAAATAGCTTAGAGCGATAGAATAACAAAAATGAAATATCTTAAGAGTTGGGGGAAAAACGAGCAATAATAAAATGTTATTGAAATAAGACAAAAGAAAATTGATAAGACATATAATGAGACATCATAACTTTTGTAATGCAATATAGGCCTAGAAGGGAAGAACATTAGGGAAGACATCAAGAGGAAGGCCACGAGATCAGCGATCTAAAAGAAACGGAGGAAAATGGAACGCCACGCTGAAAAACGTGATCTGCAGAAGAGTACTGACCAGCTGAAAAGCATATACAACTTAAAGAACAAAACATTTCAAGAGGCTTCATCTGAAACCCAACATTACTGCTCGTCTTGTACTGACACGGAGACGTCATACCAGTGCAGTAATTCATTCATCCTGTTTTTATCAATGATCTCGATTTTCTAGTCACGTGATAAAGTACTCCAAGAATTATGCTCAAGAAAATCGACATCAACTATACTTACAATCGATCTCTCGTTGTAACAAATAAAAGATATAATTCTATTTTATATTGTATGAGTACTCGCAAGGACGCAATTTTAATATAGATCTATATAACATCCAAAAGTACGAGTTGTTGAAATTGTAGAATTAATACTAAACATTTTGATTCATTTTGAGTACCATCCACTTATACCAAACCTCTATAAATTATCATTCAAGTTAAATAAACAAACATAATGTCACATCTCAAGGTATCGAATAAAAAACTCATATCCTGGAGCTCATTAATAATAATATAATAATAATATTAATAATAATAATAATAATAATAATAATAATAATAATAATAATAATAATA